TGTTCACATGCAATGCGACGTAAAATAAACTGTGACGTACGTCAGCAAGGTAAAATCGTTTCTTGTATAAATTCGTTTGCTAAACATCACGACAGCGATAAAAAGAAAAAGATGAAGTAATTTAACATCAATTTTTAATATTAATTTAGCATCGCAAATCAATGATTATAGCATTAAATATATATTAGCTGACAGTTTTATTAGATAGTTAGTTTATTTAATATTTTATTTAGTTGATTATTCTTTTTTATTTAAAATAATAGTTTATATAGATTTATTAAATTATGTTATTTTATCTGAATGTTCAATCTTTCTGAAATATTATATTGAAGACAATAAATCTTTTTTTATATGTTTAATAACATATATACATATATCAAAATAATCTGTTTTGAAACCGTAAACAATGAGAATTTATTTTTATCTCTATTCATTAATGATTCACATAATACATCTCAAGTCTGTTTGTTATACGTGTATGTATGACATATGCGACAAGAGAAAATGGCACATCTTGTAGCTGCGAATTATTGGGAAATCGCTTGTCATGCTGATAAGATGTCTTTGTATCTCAGTCAATAAAACGCGCATTCATAATTGTTATTTATAATTACAAATCGCATATTTGCCATAAGAGCGGATGTCGATTGCATCTGCACGTTAATGGAAATTACGTTATCATTCGTCATCGTGAACGGAAGAGACTCCTCAGTTGATTACAAATATAAATTTGTCATCGAGATAGCTAGAGAATATACCGGGGAATTCCTAATATAAATTATATAATGATAACAACAAATAATGTGATGTATATGTATATGAATTTTTTAGCAATACGTTAAAAGAGATTGTAATTTATAAATCATATGATAACAAAATTAATTAATTAAATTACAATTAATTAAATGTTATTATTATTATTATTCAATAATAACGTGACAAAATATTATTTTTATAATATCATGAAGTTATGCATCGCAATTTATTTTATTAAATAATTTAATTAAATATTTTTCTTTTTTCATATTTTCATTTTACGTTTTTATACAAAATATATTTGTTGTAGAAAATAATAATTTAAGTTAATAAGTTAGCTATAAATGACGTTGCATAAATTGATCTATACCCATTACATTAGAATGTGTAAAACAAATGAATTTCTGCCTGGATCGGATCTCATATTTATGTGCTTTTGCGAAATTGTCAGCTGTTATAATTAGCGATCAAACTTTCGACATTTCATCGAATGAGTGGGACTTTCCAACCGAAGAACCATATATGTGGATTTTCGCAAGACCTTTGTTCCGAATACAGATCGACTTCGAAATCTTTGATTGGCGATTGCTTCGTCTGGCATCGGTTACGAAATCGAAACATTCATAGCTTAATCGCATGAACTATTCACCTTTCGTACAACGCGCGTCATTATGTTTTACTTATTTTTTTTAACACGCAATGAAAACTTGAGGCGATTTTTTTCGAAAGCGCAACTGATATCCGCGTACATATTTGAATATGTTACATATATTGTACTGATAAGAAGTTATAACTTTAGTTATTGATCTGACGATAAATAAGATAGGGTAAAGTCAGATAAAGCATAATGTGATTAGCATACCTGATAAGACAATTGAAATATTTAATGCACGGTATTATACATCATTCTGTATTGATTAATATAGAATAATAATAATAATAATTTGGTAGAAAGATGTTTGAAAGCGTTATAAAAGTTTAAATTAAGATAATTAAAATATTAACTTAAAATATTTTTAAGATTTATGTCAAATATCTCTAAGAAAGACATAGCAAAATAATTTTTTAATATTAAGTATTCTCGCACGTTGATGTTTTTATAATCACATATTATAATATTCTTAAAATTAAATATTCTTAAAATTGTAAGACTGTATATCGAGAACTGTATATCGTTTTGCTTTGTCACCGTCATCATGCTTGATTCAAATGGAATCTTCTTGTAGTCTACAATTGACACAAATCACATTTCGCAATTACATTGTGGTATAATGATTGTTGTGGTCATAATTTGCGTGAAGACAATCTTGCGACTTAATCGACATTTTTATTTTAAATATAAAAAAAGTATATATTCTATACTATTGCTTATTATTACTTATTATTTATCTATATTATATATATTTAAATTATTGCTTATTATTTATATTTATTATCAATATTTAAATAAATCATGAAATTAGTTATAGTATGCCATAAATTCTGATAACATCTAAAGACTGAGAATTAGATTGACATGTGTCTCCGTTATACCTGCAATTACTTTTATGGTTCAATCAAAGGATAACGACTTATGGCTGGCTTCATTTTTATCAATCAATCTTTTAAGGTTTAAGTGCGAGGCTATATAATTGAGTAGGGCTCCTATGTGTCAACTTGTCTCGTGCGCCTATCTCATGTCTCATTGCTTCATACATATAAAAAGCAGATGTGAAAAAATTTCACGCTTTCACTTGATTTTATCGTGATTTTATCAGATTGCAAGTTTACATCATAATCCTCAGATAATTAAATGATAAGATGATAAATCAATAATTGTTGATTTATTTGAACAAAACGAATAATCAAGCTTATTAATAAATCCGACTTAGCAATGCATCATCCGTTATTGCATTATTTAAAAATATTCATTTGTTAATGTTGCAGATGTATAAATGTATATGCACTATGAAATATTTTTGATCTGCATCGATCCATATAGTATCGTTTTGCTATTAGAAACAACTGATCTATTATCTATATAAGGTAATTGTCTCAATTGTAAGTCATATCCCAATAAGTCAGTTTTGTTTTTCAATTTATTTTATTAAACAATTAATTATTAAACATATTTGAAAAGGAACGTAATATTATTATACATTATATTATTTAATAAGATATCACATAAGATATCTTTTACTCAAGTATAATATTGCAAAAAGATTTAAAAGAAAGAATGTTAACTGCAATGTTTTTATTGTTTAATTTTGAGTGTAAATATCAATAATAAGAAAGAGAAATATATTTATTAAATAGATAAATTTATATTTCTCTATAAAACAAGAGGCATAATGCTTTATGTTACATTAATACGTAATGTTAAGACAAAAATTATAAGCGCTTACTAGGCCATCAATAAACGTTTGTTGTAATTTAAATAATTATTTTTTTATACAATTAAAAGTCATTTTTTATTAAAATGAGACAGCTAAAAATTTAGAGTATATACAAAAATGTATATTTAAATTTTTATAATATTTTTTAACACGTAAAAAGAATTGTAATCAATAACGTTAAGTGACTTACAATTGGGATAATTACTTTATATAAACTTTATATAACATTTTTACATAATATATTATTTATTATAATATAATGATATTGTACACAATATACAAATTATATGCAATTAATTTATAATGAAATTAATAGAATCATAACAAAGTTTGCATAATTAAGTAATAATAAGTGTGACAATTATTTTTTATTTAAGTTTAAGCTAATTTTTTATTAGCAATGTAATTTAATAAAATAAAAACTAATTAAATTATAATTGTCTTTACAAAAAATATATAAAAATACTGAAAAAGTAATAAGTTTAATTAAGAAAAAATATAATTATGAATTATGTGCATATAGTAATACCAACAACGATGAGAAATCTCTATCTTTATCTGCGAAACAAATCGAAACTGCATGGGAGAGAAACATTACGATCAATATAATTGTGGTGAACGAGACGAGAACAAATAAAAATAGATGCGTTGCAGAAAGGACTGGAGTTCATTGGCATCATTTCTTGGCAACTCTTAGAAGAACGATTATAACAAGACTAGGTCGATATATGTGCTAAAGCTGTATTGATCCTTGTGACGGGGACCTCGCCCAAAATCTGCCGAAAAAGCTGATCTATTACTTTCATTTAAGAGCCGTAAGAGATTAACTTGGAAGATATCATTGATAAACATGTCAATCATAAGATTTGCCATTGCTTCGTTCAAGAAGCAAAAGATGATATATTAGTAAATAAAAGAAAATTAATAAAAAATAGAAAGTAACGGAAAATAGCGAAAAGAAGAGAAAGTTGCAAGAAAACGAGATAGAAGAACCTATTAAATCTAAAACCTATTACGGTTTACGTATACGCGACGTAACGCGCACGTGCTGTCTGCGATTTGTACGATGCGTCAGTCGTATGAATAACCCTCGAAATGCATTGTAATGAAGGTTATCTCGTTAGAGAACTTGATAGTCTACTATGATTACCTGATTCATTCATCACATTCATTAAAAAAAATGAGAATACTGATTTATACTACATCTTGACTAGTCTGTTATAAATGTTCTAAATGTTTAAAATGTTTCATGTTATTTATGCATAATTTATGTAAAAAAGTTTTTTAATTTAAATTAAATCAGTTAAAAAAAATTAAAAATGAAATTATGATTAATGTAGTAATAGAAGAAGTTACAATGAAATATTGGGTTTAAAACAGCATTAACTGTTTTGCAAATACAATTTTTTTGAAGATAACATTTCTGTTTAGTATATATTTGCTATATACACAGCAATGTGTCTGGTAAGCTAATCAAGCACATTTATCTAAAGACGCGAGTTATAAATGTGTATACATAATTTTCAAAGAAAATCCAACAAAGAAATTTTAGCGACTCTTTTTTTATTAAAAAATTGATTTTTTACACTTGTTCTGATTTTCTAATATATTTTATTTAATGTATATCTCACAACAGATTGTTACACTTAGTTTCCTTTTTGCTTATTTAAGCATTGTCAACATGTGAACGACTTTTTTAATTTTTAAAAATATATATAAGGATGTGAAAACAGGTTATGCAAATTATCGGTCTGACTATATTACGTATTATCAAGCAACGAGTGTTTTTTTTCTCGATGTTGAATCCTTCAATCGTGATATATCTCAATCGGAAAATATTCAAATCCTATCTTTCTCAATATTAATATCTGTATCCTCGAATGATAAGAACATTCCTTTCGTTATTTTATTAATATATCTTTGATATCGAGGAACGCGACCTTTGATCCTGTACGGCGAGTTCCTGTGGATTTACTGTTATTCACTAATATGCTTCTACGACTTTGTTCAAATCGTTAACGCTTGCGCAAATACATACTGGGAGTGACATAACTCTTAGTAACGTGATACTCAAGAGTTTCTCTATCATGAAGAATTGTTTACCATTATATTCAATATTATCCTCAAGTTAAGTTTTTTAAATCTATTTATGTACTTTCTTTGTATTCAGATTCCATTTTAATTTCGAATATATGGTCTTCAAAATCAGAGTAAATATATTATTCTCAAATAAGAATATATACAAGAGAAATCAATAAATTATGAAACATCAAAACATCCATATAAATAGAAAGAAGATAATTATTTTACGATTTGATAAATAATCGATAATAAATTTGAAATTTTCTTTTTTACGTTGAAAACTTTTAGAATAATTTTTGTGTAGAATTTTATAAATAATTTTCATCCAATTTTCATCCAATATCAAATAAAATATTATTTTCTTTCTACAATAATTTAATTTCGTTTATCCTGAATCGTAATATCATCAATTAAAAGTACTATAATAGAAATTATATAAGCTAATCCAAAATGAAAAAGGTTTTAGCATCTTCATTATGTATTCTGTATTAATGTTATGTATCAGTGTCAATTAAAATTTTTGTTCTTATTCGCAAAATGAGAATTTCTCGCGTGTAATTGATCGGAAAATGAATTTTCTCTTTGCGAAATGATTACAATGAGTACACTTTTCCACATATTGCGACACATCGTTCACTGCTCGGCGTACTCGGAGCTGAGGGAGATTATACTTCAATTTTGCGAGACCATCAACGAACACGTTCACACGTATGGTATCTAGGTAGGTCAACGACGTGCCAGGTCAAGGTGAATGTTCAATCGGTTCTGTTGACTTCAGTCAACAATTCATACTTACTGTGTTGCTCGCCGGGAACGATAGGTATAGCCCAGACTCTGTCCGGCTGAAGTCTAAGCCACACTGAACAGTCTCTCTGGCACACGCGCTCGGTGTCTACAGAAATAGAGGCAATTGAACCTGCGCCTTGCGCTGTGTAGGAATACAGTTTAACAGAACGATTGAGTGTGCTGCTGCCATCTCCTGGTGCCTGTCAAAGCTTTTCTATTTATTTTTAATTGTTATTATTAATTAACGTATTTCTCTTTCACTTGGATTTCTTTCTGCCTCTGGAAATGAAATAAACATATATGCGCACTCTGGAAAGGAAAATAATTAGAAAGTGTAGCTAAAAGACGGACCGCTGTGTTGATTGATTGGAGGGTGAATTGATTGATGACATAGAAACAGAGAAGAACATGGCAATTATCCCGTTTCATTTTATATCAATGTTGAGTTATTGAGATTTCTAGATTATTTGTCTAAATTTAGAAATATTGAATATCTACAAAAGATTGCAATACAGTTAGGGAATTTTTTATAAAAATTGTACTCTCTTAATAGTTAATTACTGCTAAAATTACACCTTAATGTGGAAATTGTAAAATGTAAAATTGTTTCTTAATGTTTTATTTGTTTGTATACACTTATAGGCCCTAATTAGGCATGAGCTAGTCCATTCCCAACTTTAATTAACATTTCAATTCTCAATAATAACGGACCACGATCGGTAAGCCGCATCGTGATTGTCGAGACATACGTATAGGATCGAGGCGTTTGACAGGATTATAGCGGAGAATCAGAACATATGCGCAGCTTGAGTGGATAGATGATTATCCATATTGCGTAAAATCACATTTTGTTTGATAACTATTAATAAAAATATAATTAAATGTGCAAAAGCACAAGTATATATTACAATTTTCTATTTCTTTTAAATAAAAAATACTTTGTTACTATTGTCACGTATCTTAAAATAATAAATGTACTTAAATTCATGATAAGATTGATTGATCGACTGTATCATCCGCCATATCCTTAGTAAACACTTCAAGCCTATGCACATACAATGTTTATATATACGTGTGTATATGTATATATATATATATATATATATATATATATATATTATTATTATATATATTAT